GTACTTCCTGAATGGTTAGTGCCCCACTTTTGTCAGACCCCTTGAATTACAGCTGAAAGTCTTGACTTTGCTCCCATCTGGGTGTGTTTCCACAGAGGCCAAATGCCAAAAGAGTTATCCTTGTTCCAATATTTCTAGCCCTGACTGTAGCAGATTTGCACAAGACTAGACTGTTAAGAAGTCTTCCTCATTTTTTAAGTACCTTCAAAGAGCCAAAGCCCTTTTTTCATTTTCTTTAAATATAGGGAGCCTGATCTTGGTCAAAATTTGAAGGGCGGGGGGAGAGAAGATGAGTCCTTCTTACAACCGTCATCCAGTTATCTTTTCTCTGCACCTACATTTATACAGCCCCAGACTGATCTACTGATGTTTATCTATGATCTGTGACCTTTGACAGTTTGCATTGTAGATGCACGGAGGGAAGGGAGAAGTTTGATCCAGACTGGGATAGAATGAGAGGCAGAAATTTAAAGCTTTCCTACTTTCCATTTTAACACTCTGATTTAATTTTTATGCAGGGAGGAAGGGGATCCAAGTAAACAGATTGTAATGAAATCTCTAGCAGGCCCTGGGGACACACAAGAGGAAGCAGGACTGTTGCAAATGAGATACCCCAGAGGAGAGGAAAAGCATGAGAAAGACTCTCCACCTTAATTACACTACAGGTTTAGTGACTGCAATTGGTTTCAATGACTTGGTCATTAAGCAAAATGGTCACTAAGTGAACATGTGACTCAAAAAGACACTGCAAAGATCACTGGTTGATGCCATCTCACTCAAAGTTTTCTGTACAGTGTCCTGTGCCTGACCTGTTTTTTTCCCTTTTTTGCCCCCTCCCAGGATGGAGAAATTGCTTAAACAAGCTCTTTCTTCCTGAGCGGCTTTTAAGTGCTAACTGCAAGTTAATAAGGTCAGCTCTGTGACCTTAATTGGCTGATTAGAACCCTGGGGCAGCAGGCAGTTGCTGTCTGAAAGTGATCAGATCTTAATCAGTTTCATACTGAAGACTTTTGTTGTTGTATGTGTGCATATTGGTCACAAAAATGATTTTTATTACTGTTTATTACCCTTGTATTTGTAAACGGTCGTGAGGCAGTTGCCAAATGAGGACTACATGTAGGTATAAGTTGGGAGATGGTTTTGACAGAGTTTCAAGATTCTGTTATAATACCCAACTAACAATAAAGATCTTTCCAAAAATCCAAGCGGTTGTTTCCTGAGTCCGCCTGCCTCAAAAGGCTTGACACAGATTTAGAAAGACTATTTGATTATATTTTTAAAAGAGTCCAATTCATTGCATTCTTTCCTGCATTGGTCTGTACTGTACACCCAGACAAGCATAAAATGAAAACACAAACTAATTATAAAAGATAAAATGTTTTTCATTTCATGTGGCTTACCTTAATGATTTTTCCCCTTCAAAAATATTTACGCTCTGACAGCTCGGAAATCCAAGAAATCAAAAAATTAGCTACAGTAGTATGTACAAAGAATTACAGTATTACCATCAAAGAAAAAGAAGTGTTAATATGATGTGCCAAAAGATTTTGCAGCTGAAGTTTATGCCTGGAAAAAAAGGCTTCCTTCAGTACAATATTTGTAAGAAAAGTGCCACTTTGAGCCAGAAAGAAACAAATAGTTTTCTTTAATGCAAGCTTGTAACTTTAGAAGTATCAGCTGATAACTTATCTATTTATAAGGGCTATCACACATCTGATACTACAGATAGATTTCTTTCCTCATATTGCTTCCAACTCCCTGTTTTTCACTGGCACATAAATTTCACTGCTAGTCAGCAAGTGTAAAGTAATCAACAGTAGAAAAATCAATGTACATGTATAAGTGAACCAGATCCTTTATCCAACACTATTTAGATTTTGCTGTTCAGCAAAACTGCAGAAAATTATTAGGAAAACTAGTAAGATTTCTCAGTCATTGAAAGCTACATAATTTTTATCAGTGGCTGTACATATAAGTTTTGACAGCTCTTATGTGTAGAACACATTTGACTTTATAGCAACCATCAAAGGTTCTTTTATTTCTGTACTAAAGCATACCCTTACATTTTCCCAATAAAGAGGCTTATTACAATCAGATAAAAAGACAAAATGTCTAAAACCAAATCTTAGAATTCAGTTTTACAGTGGCTTTATGTGCTTGGCCTCAGTGGTCTCCATAAACAAACTCTTCATACAAGCTCCTTGCATTCTTGGTCAAGTTTCTCTACTGAGGTATATGCTTATTTGCATACAGAAAATTCTCATTAGGATCCCAGAAAATATCAAAAAGAAGTTCCATTCACTCCAAAGATCATAAAAGTGATATTTAAAGCTTGTGGGTGTTTGAAAGGGGTGGGTGGGTGGGAGGGAGCCAAGGGACAAATTATGTGATACAAACTCCATTCCTTATTTGTGTGATTTTGTGATGCAAGGACCGAAGGATGGCACTTGCATGGTGTGCTATACATATTTTGTCATTTTGGTGTCATTGTGGCTAACTACGGATGCCTGAGTTGAGGTGTTTTCTTGTCCAATATCAGCATATTTCATGCACGTTACTCCGGACAAAACCTTCTCTCTCCAGTAGTCCCATGCTTTCAGTTACTGAGAACTTTTTTTAAAAAATCCTGTCCTGAAATCCAAGCAATTTTGCCAGATGCCAGGCTTTGATGTTGCTGGCTGGAACCTAGCAAATCTAGTGCGAAAACTGTGGAATGGAAAGTGTTTGGCCATGAAATTGGGGAAGGTTGGGTGGACTCCATTCATTGTTCCTCAGCATCCTTGCTGGATCAATCAGGACTGGCTGACCACTAAAACAATCCATGCCTTTCCTTAGGTTTATAGATGGGAATGTATTTATTTACCTTAGTACATGATCTTTTGGTGACCAAGTTTGCATTTAACATTTGGGGGGAGAGGAGCTGAAAGCCACAGATCATTGGGGTCTTATCTCATATGTAAGCGGGATGGATTCTGAGAGAATGTTGGGGGTATTACTTTATTTTTTAACCGTGATATCCCTATCTGAGGGCTTAAATTACAGTTTCTATTGGATTTCCATCTCAGAATGGTAGGAAACTATGCTGTCAGTATTCATTAATCATTTCTCACAGAGAGTTGCAAAAAGGGGACTTAAAGATCACATGTAGGGCTGGGGTCTCAAATTGTCCACTATAATTTATTTACTCCTTTGTAATAAATATGAACATAGGATCCAGGATCTATTATGATTTCACTTTCTGAGATGATGATAATTTCCTTTAAAATTATTACTAAAACTGTTAATACATTTAAAGGAAATTTTAAATTTCTACTCTTATGTGAAAAGTAGAGCTGAAATCTATAATATGTATCTGATGAAGCTCTACTGGAATAGAACAGAAATCCTATTTACTAAAATCACAATGGGGTTTATTGTTTTATAATTGCTGAAGTATTTCAAGATCTACTTTTAACCAGAAATGATTCCAATCTATTTGTATTGGAGCTTGAACACAATTAAATTATACAATGTAAATAACAGGAAACTTTTGGTATAATTTATCCTGAATGTGGAATTTGGGCTACTTGACACAGATTTTTATATTTTTTTTAATGTAAAAAACCAGATGTTTGCAAAGGGTATCAGAAAATGATTGTATGAATCAGTCAATTTCATGATGCTACATAGAATTGGAAATGGGAACTGGTGAACGGGATCTATGATCTTCCATACAACCAAAGTACATCTTTCCAGATGAAAGATTCCATAAAATGGACAACTATTCCTTAAATGGAAACCACATCATAGAGATAGTGAGGTCCTCTTCTATACTGGGATTATCTCTAAATGGCCAGTTGAAGTAGATCTGTGCAGTATCTCACTCATTGCTTTGTGCCGTTCATATCTCCAACTTAGAAGAGGCAGGTCAGTTCTTCAGAAAATTGGTGAGTACCTTGGGAAAGTCCAGATAAGAAGGTTCAGGAGCAGGTCTTCAGTTAATGTCCACGTTCTCTAGACAGACATAGTTGCTACACGCTTGCAAGTGGTGGAGCAGTTCAAGTTGTACCAATAAAAAATTTAAAAACAAAACACCAACCAAGCCTCCCCTTCCTCACTTTGCCTTTTGGACCTCAGTAAGCAAAATTGTGGCACTAAAATATATTCATCAGTGCATGTGTATTAGTCACAAATGTGAATGTGATTAATATGAGGGAAACAAACATATGTCACTCTCATTTTGCAGTTAACTTTGCCATTTGCTATGCAGTCCTTGACCGTCCATCCCTCGAGGATCAAAATGCATATTTCTAAAGGAAGTTGGCAATCATTCTAAACCTTTTGGTAAAAGACACAGCTAAAACACTGCTTAAGCCTCTGAGGTCCCTTCTCCGTTTTCATGGGGTTGCAGTTGTTCTCTTTCTTGTTCTTCCTGAGGTGGCCGCACACGTTTGAAGAAACCCACCTATAATGGTGAGAAGGCATTATAATGTCAGGGTGTGGGATATAGTGCACATTAGCAAACATTACATTTCTTTTCATACAAACCTTGAGCCTAGTGAGCATGAGGGCTAATGGTATTGTATCAGGTAAGTTTGAAAGATCTGATATACTAGAATAATCCCCTCACATAGAACATGCATATTTGTATTTACTTATAAATGCCATTTTCTAACATTTCCACAGAGTACCTTCAAACAATAGTCTGAGCTGACCATGAGATCAACAGTTTTTCAATTCAATTCTCAGCTTCTTCTCAACCCTAGGAAAAACTGTAGCAAGTGGCTGTGGACAATATTTTAACATTTTAACAGGTCAATCTTATCTGCAAGTTGAAGTATTCCAACTTGGGAGCCATTTGGCTTATCTAATCTCCTTGCTGGCTACAACTGGTGATATGATGATAGACAGCATCTTAAACTGCAGCCATTACCCTTTGGGGAGCCTTCTAAAAGGTGAGGTTTCTCAACCACAAGGAGAGCCAGTCTACTTATTTCAATTCAACAAAGGCAGTGCTCTCCCAGTTAACAGTTATGGAAGTTTCAAAGATGGAATTAAGTATTTGTTCATTCTTTTTTCCCTCTGTTTATCTAATAATTTCAATTAAACTATCAAAACCACTTGTTTTTGGCAAATTCAACATACTCTGCTGAAAATTAAGACTTCATTTGTATTGCTACAACCTTTTAAAATGCCCTAAAAATGACTGGATTTTTGTCTTCTAGAATTAATTACACACACACACAATGGAGTGCAATCCCATATTGTTGTTGTTGTTCAGTTGTTAAGTCGTGTCCGACTCTTCATGACCCCATGAACCCTATCATGCCAGGCCTTCCTGTCCTTCACTGCCTCCCTGAGTTGGCTAAGTTTCATGCTCATTGCTTCAGTGATGCTATCTAACCCTCTTATCCTCTGCCGTCCCCTTCTCCTATTGCCTTCAATCTTCCCAGCATCAGGGTCTTTTCCAAAGAGTCCTCTCTTCGCATTAGGTGACCAAAGTATCTGAGCTTGAGCTTCATTATCAATCCTTCCAATGAGCAGTCAGGGTTGATTTCCTTTAAGATTGACTGGTTGCAATCCCATATATGCCCATCTAAAAATAAATCTCATTGAGCTCAGTGGAATTTATTCCCAAGTTAATGTGTACAGTGTTGCAGCCTTCAATGCTCCCCCTTTCCTTCAAACTCAGGAATTACTAGCTAAAAATAGACATCTATTAAACAACCTTAGTCTATTTGGGGAGCAGCATTTCTCATCACAACCCCTGAACAATACTTGCTGGGTAACAAAAGGTCTTCACAGTGGGTTAAAATAAGAAATTATTTCAAACCTTTAATTTTGAATTTAAAGAAAATGGACAGGATTTCATTAAATACACACTTACCTTGTGCATTATAAAAACTAGAAGGGCCAACAGTAATAATCCTGCTAAGACAGCCAGTATGATTACCCATACTTGTACTGTCATAGGTGCTGGCTGAATACCCCACAAGATGTTTGTGGTAACCTAAAACGGAAAGAAATGGCAACATATTTTACTGAAAACATGGGTAAGATAAACTGGATCAGGGATATACTTTGGAACTTCATAGTAACATGGTGCAAGGTTTGTAATTACCTGGGTTTCTGATAAGCTGAACTACACATTCTGTAATGAAGGTCACAGAAGAAGGTTTTACTGGTTTATGACTGAAGATCTGTGGATGCTCTGATTCTGCTGCAGCAGAATCTGCAGAATCAAGCTCTCTAAAGCATCTCACAGGAAGAAAAAAGAACAGGTTTCTAGCCCTTAAGACTACAAGGATATGCTTGAAAGACTGAGGAACTGGAATTCAGAAGGCAGGGAGATTGAACCCAAACAAGGGGATGGAGACAGAGCCTCAGGGCTTCCTATCTCCCATCCTGCCTTCTGCCTGAGATTCTCCAGCTGAAAGCCAGGTACCCAGGGGTGTCCTAGGAAGTATATGGACACAGCAAGTATAAAGATTGAAACAGAAACCCTTTAAAGCCCAATGCTTTCTGGCTTAATTTTATTGGCTTTTATGGAACTAAATTACATACGGCCCATGTTTGCCAACTGAAGACCTGTTCCGAACTGCACTGACTTTCAAATAAGACTGTCTAGACACAGCTGGAATTTCTTTTGACTAGGAGCCTTAAGCAAGTGTTATTCTGCATGTCACGGCTGCTCCTCCTGAAACAAGGGAGTCCAAATTGGACAGTAGTCTTTACCACATCCAAAGCTCTTAACAAAGGCTCCACTTTAATAAAACACTTAAGCAGCATGTGATCAGATGGTATAAGTTTGACTACCAACTGTGTAATACTGCCTAGCAAAAACAGCAGAAGCTGAACAGATTGTTTCATTTCAGATTAATTACACTAATCAATGTCACACTACTTTTGATTATCAAACAGCTTACTATTGTAGAATTGTGGACATCTTCAGGAAAGGAAAGATTCTTGTAGGGGAACTCGATGACGCTGAAAGAAGCTGATGACTTGAGAGAATAAGAGTGGTTTTGGTTTTCTTTCTGTCATGGAAATAATTACAGAGAAATGTCATATTAGGGTTAGTTATTACTCAGGAACAGAGGGAAACTGTAGGAACAGCACTGGATACTTACATTCATGAAAGTCTGAGCCCAAAGGCGAGATTTCAAATAGAGAATTGCAGTTTTTCCCCTCTCTAGGCGACCAACTTGACAAAATATTTTTAAACAGTCTGCATTTCCACAGCCCTGGCATTTAAAAAGAAGGATGAAGGGAACAGTTGATTTTATTTACTTACTCAGTTACTCGTTAGATTTAATTCACATATTTTCCCAAGAGCTGGTGACATGAGCACACAATCAGAGCCCTCCCCCCCTTTTAATGTGCATTAATGCAAGATCCATGCAAAAAAGGGGAAGAATTTCAATGCATGATTGTGGTTGCTATCTTAACTTTTTGACCCATGGATGCTACGGTATTACTCATAAAATTATATTGTGCAGCTAGTGTGCCCTTTACTTCTTAACAAACGTACTGTGAGAAAAAAAAGATGGAAGATATAATTGTAGGAAAGTATCAGAGAATTTTAAATCGACTTTATTGGTCTCTGCACCTCTGTATTATTCAGCCTGTAAGTCAGGGTTGTAATAACAAAAAACATATTTTATAATTTTGGTTGACATCCATATGATGTGATCCTGCACATATAATACTTCATGCAAAATTAAGAGGAACAAAAGTGCCTCTTTTCACTGCTTTCTCTTTCATCATGCCTCTATAATGAAGCCCTTTTAAAAATATGGTGGCATCATTCTTGAAGTGAGAAAATAAGCTGGGAAAGAAGTCCTTAGTACATTCTTTTAAGAACTCCAGTGTTCCAAGGAATGTCTGGGAAAATGAGTTTTTGATAACGAGTTATAAACCTGGCAAATCAGTTGCAGCAGCTTGCACATCACACATCAAAGGAACACGAAGTGCAAGAAGGAGGCAGTGTTAAATCATCCCCAGTAAGGGCCATTAAGAGCCAACTTTTCCTACACTGCAGTGGCTGAGGGATTGCAAGAACATCTTCTCCATATGCATGCTATACCTCAACTTGCCATTGCTGGAGAATATACCATAGGCTAAGGAGAAATGATGAGCCGGATGCAACAGAAGTGTATCATTAATACCTGCTCCACATTAGAACATTACTCTCCTTGGTGTAAATCATATATATGATGAAGATCTAACTGCTAAATATGTACGTTTGAAAATTATATCCAACTTCTCTGAGACCGGGGAAGTGGCTTGGCATGCTTTTGGACTCAAATGTAGTAGTAGCAATGATGTGCAATTCACCTTGAGGACTTTTGTCACGAAGTTCAGGATTATGATGTAGTGATGAAACTCTTGTACTTTGACTGGGAAGACCCAGATCCAAACAAGCTACAAAGTTCATTGAGTGACTTTAAAACAACTTCTCTCAGTGGGTTCCGTATTCATGTTTAGGGTAGCAGGCTATATATCCCTCACTTCCATGCGCGCGCACACACACATACGTATTCCAAAACTCCCAAACAACTACTCCTAACTGCATGTCCCGAACTTCTCTAATTCAAGCTTGGTTCAAGGATTAACAATTTAGAGACCAATTTTCTCTTGGGTTAATGATACCGTAGTACCAAAAAAAGTATACACTAGGGCGAAATTATTTTGAACAACTTAAAACTCAAAATGTATTGCTATAAGAATGAATAACTGAGTGAAGCCAACAGTTTGCTTTCTGATCTGGGCTTCTCTGCTGTTTACAGCTTGCTGCATACTGCCTGCATATATACCATGTATTACTCTCAATTACGTCCTGGTTTTTTCTGCTGTTTCCTTGGCCCTGAATCTATTTTATATTTCTACCAGCTAAATTTTACCAGATTCTTAAGTCATTGGATTTGGTTTGATTATCCAGAGACATTCTGTTCTACTCTACTCATACCTGAGTCCTCTCTGTCTCCAAAAATAAAGGAAGGGAAATGTCAGCTAAAGATTTGGACTGTTTTGAACTTATCATATTGTATTGGACTCACATCAATACTGATATTTTAAATTATTCATTGGAAACCATCCAGACAATTTCAATTCCACTTAGAGTCTTAAAAGACTGAAATACTGTAGTTTAAAAATGCCATAGAGATAGAGATAGATAGGCAGGCAGACAGGTAAGCAAGCAGGTAGATAGATTCCCTACAACTGGCTGGCTGAGAAAAGAAGTTGTTCAATCAGTCAATGAGGTTTAGGGATGAGAGAAAAAGAGAGAGAAACTAAAGCAGAAACAGCTGTACTACCAACTTGTTCAGCAGCAGGACTTATTTTTTTGTCTTACTGTTATTTGTAGCCCAACTGTATCTTGACCAGCTAGGGCAATAAATTGATTCCAGCATTTGCTTTGCAGAAAAATTAAAATATTCCTAAACTATTGAAGCTTCTTCTAAAATATTGATAAGGTACTACTTGCAAAGCAATTAGCACATAGACTTTACCAAAGTTTGTACATCTTCCTCTGTAACACTTAGATCTCTTCGGTTGATTTGGTGATTGCGGTGATCTTCTCCATTAAGCGTTTCATTCCTTTCATCTTGCTGAGAAGTTGACACCTGTATCATCAAGGTAGGTTTGATTACTGGCACATTTCCTGGACAAACCCTAAATGCTGTTAATCCATATTTATTTGTGGATATAACAATGTGTGGTCCACTGGAATATACTGTGCCTTGCTCTCTCACCCACATACAACACTGAAGCAGCCAACGTGCTATGAGGAAGCCAGAAGAAGCACTGGGATGAATGAAATTAATACATGTACCCCCAAATTATAAACTACATCATAGAGAGTGCTGGGGAATACCTCTAAAGTTACAGAATACTTCAGGCATTAGCTGCTATGATATGGAATCCAGCTGGTTGAAGGCAGGATCCTTCATGGAAACAAAGGGTTGCCACAGTCTTTTTTAACTGTGGGCTGAAGCTTTCTTCCAGCCATTTTCATAGGTCATACCAATGTGATCACATCTGTTTGTCAACTTAGTACAAGTGGCTCTGCTATCCCTCTAAAACTGTTTAATTTTTTTTCCCACATTGATGCCAAACATGCTTTATTGTTACAATTATTGACAATAATCCTTATAGTTTAACACATAGACAGCTGGATAGCTTGATATATAGATAATCTCAGCTGGATAGCTTGATATATAGATAATCTCAGCTGGATAGCTTGATATATAGATAATCTCAGCTGGATAGCTTGATATATAGATAATCTGAACAGACTTTCCTTTTACCTTAATTTTTAGTGGGTTAATCTCCATGTCAGATGTACAGTTCATGGGTCCTTCAATTTCATATTTCATAATATACAAAAGTGTATTATTGTTGTATTTATAAGGCCACTGAAGATTGAGCATCACCTTGCTGAAGGTACTTGGACCATTGTTTCTGAGCTAATGAGGAAGTGGAAAATGAATCAATTTAATATGAACCATATTAAATGAACTGGTCAGCTTCCAAAGCAGGCTTGCACAAGTTGTGACTCAGTTAGTAAAAAACAACCAGTCTCTGCATATAACAGATTCCATTAAGAACTCCATTTTACTACATGAAGCTGGTCAACAACCAGCAAGTCTCAAGACTTTTCTACATTGGAACCGTAAGCTGCTTGATTCCCATGCAAAAACTGGCTGGAAATGGAACTAGCTTAAGAAATCCCTTTCTGGATATCAACCTCTTCCTCCTCTTTCGCCATGGTGATCACCAGGCATCCTTAGCAAGGATTCCCTTGCTTTTTAATCCCTCCCACCCATCTCAGGAAAGCAAGCACCAAACATGGTCTTTGAGAACATGTGGCTTCCATCAATAGACCTTTTGTATGAGCCCCTCTCTGTTTACTCCCCCTTGTACTTGGCACTTTCCTATCTGATGCATCTACAAGTGGACTGGTAAAAAGAAAAAAGGAAATACCAGCATTTTACCATTTGTCCTTTTACTTGGGTAAGAAGGGTAAACTGGGAAAACTCTTGTCAATTTCACTTGGTTAAAAATATTTAAAAGGTCCACCTTTCAACTTTCCATCAGTAAACTTTTTTTGTTTTGTTTTGTTTTTAAAAGCCTAGCCTTTTATTATTTCAGCAATGAATTTGTTTAAAAAAACAAAAACACTCCAGCATTTCACATTCTGCCATCTCTTTCCCTTGCAATTTTTGGCTCCTTTTCTACCCATTTAATCACATCATGACCAGGTGGCTGAACAGGGCAGAAATGACAAGGAGAAATGGTCCCAGATAAACAGCTCGATGGCCCAATGATGGAATGAAGAAAAAACCCAAACCAACAGAGAGGGAAGCAGGCAGGCAGCCTGAAGCCCAAGACAAAATAGCTTGCAGGGCAGTGACCAGTGACTGGAGAGACAGAGTGTTCTTGCCACAGGGCACAGTAACCACTTGGAGGGAAATTTAATTTGCCTACTATGAAATGAAATGCAGTTGGTGAACTTAACTGCGCTACTTGTGCTGGTGCAAGTTAAAAAACACTGATCAGAGTTGCTATGGAGTTGGCCAGTTTTAGTAATCTGACAAATAAACAAACAAACAATTGATGCATAGTATAAAAGGATAAGTGAAGGTTGTCTCTTTAGTAGGCTGGGGGTGGATAGAGGATGACACTACACATTCCTCCCCCTGAGAAATGGTTAGTGCCATGTATACATGGTTGGTCATGCAGATCAGCCCACACAATATGGCAATGTATGGCCTGCATTTAGCTTAATGGGACCCAAACAGGCCTGGGATAGAGAAGGGCAGAAAGATGGCCTTGATACTGTAAATGCATGGTTACAGCAGACTGTGATATTCCATGTATTTGTTGAATGGGCCATGCTAGCTGGAGCATACTGAGGTTGAAATCCAGCACCTTCAGAGGGCAAAAAGTTGAAGGAAGAAGGAGTAAAGGGGTGCCTGAAGGGCGTGCTTGGCTTTTCCTTTGGAAACTGGTAGATCACCCACAGGGTTATCTGGTCAGCTTACTGGTGCAACAAGAGATAAAGGTGAAAAAATGCTTTCTGCATCTTCAGGATCTATGATTATTATTTACCATCCTAAGCACCCACATACCTCATAGATGTGTTGAACTAAAGGCCCTATGTCATCCTCTGTTTCTGGATTTTCCTTTGGTTGCCAGTTGGGAATTGGGAGGAAAATATGATCAGGAGAAGAGACCCTAAATTGGATGAGGAAAAAACAGGGATGATTGGACACGGTACATGGAGCACAACCCACACACCATCAAATCAAGGCAGAGGCTGTGATGGGATCAGCACTCACCCTCTGATTTCTACAGCAGCTGAAATGGCCAGGTCCACTTGATACGAGATCACTGGGCTTAGGTTGTTAAACAAATTGGAGCTGTAGAATAATGCAGTTACACAGTAAGATTCTAGTTATGAAATGCTATCAGATCGAGGAGTTTGGCTATACAAAAAAGGTACCCCTGAATGCTATTCAGGAGCTTCATTTTCCTGTTCCTTTCTGTCTTTTCTTCCATTCTTTTTAAAATGTGTACAAGTGTTCCCTCCTGCTGCTCTCATTGGGAAGGAAACAGGTCTGTTGCAATCCCATGTGGGGATGTTTCTGGGGAACAGGAAAGTGTGGAATCTGAAACCTATCCCAGACACACCCAGGAATGCTTCCTCTTTGTCTTCTTTGATACTGGAGTTCCAGAATCAGAGATGCAGTAACTTGCAGGGCATCATGCAGAACATCACAGAGGAAGTTTATAAACAGGATACTCTCCTCAGAGAAGGTAGTCTGAAAAATCCCAGGTCCCTAGATACCCACTAAGGACAACAGAATTGCTCTTCTTTTCATAGTTGTATTTGAAAGGACTGTTTTTTGGGAGGCTTTTATCTCAAACATCCCAATGTGTTAGGCTGTCTCTGTTCACATTTCATTTTCATTGGTCTTGAAGACATTCGAAATAAGAACGTAATCCATTATCTAAACTTGCTTCTTCCTCTTCCCCGCTTCTTCTTCCTCCTCCTCTAGCCACCATTTAATTGCACACAAATCAATATATTACATTTACAGCATATGCAAGCATATATGTTGAAAATTAAATCTCTGTGGTTAAAAAATAATGTATTAGCCATGCAGGCCAAACTTATGTTGCCAAAATTAGATGATTTCAGAATGTTTATTTATTCTACAGTATCTGTAAACTTTCCCAGTTTGGTGTAGAACTGTAAAATTTAGAGTCTGTAAACTACTGTATGCTGTCTGGGTAACATACAACAAAGCTAGAAAAATACAGTTTTAATTGCCTTGAAAAATGCAAGGAAGGAATGGGCCAACTGAACCTGCAGTACACTTGTACTTTGAATTGGGCTTGAGAGCTATTGGTAGCCAGTACAACCACCATAAAATAGGTGTTATTCTACTGTGACAGACTTGTCCCACCAACAGCCTAGCTGCTGTATTCTGACAGCTTCTGAAGTGACTCCAAAGCAGCCCCGCACTGAGCGTATTGCAGTAGTCCAACCATTGGTGATTCGGGTGTGAGTAATCATTGCCAGGGTATCCTGGTCTAGGTAGGGCATAAATGGGTCATGAGCTGCAACTGGGCAAAGGCCAAAGTAACCGTTAGGACTAATGTTGACTTCACTCTTTCCTGACCTCCATTACAGTCTCCTTCATCATGAATGATCCATTATCTTATTTTCACTCTCTCTTCTACTCTCCATCCCCACACTCTATACTTCATTTTTTCCTTCCTATCACTAATGAGCTATTATACCCCAAATTAAAAACATGCACTAAAATTCCTACCAGTAATACCATAGTTAATCACTTAACAGCTAGTCTGGGTGCCATCTTACAAAACGGCTTAGAACAGAGTCAACGACCAACTCTTTCAATACAAAGACCATCAAATCTATCAAGTAAAAGGACACCCTGAAATATTCCAGTTCTGATACTAACGGCCCAAAAGGCTCAAAAGGAAAGTTAATGAAATGAAATTGGAAATATATATATTTAAGAATAAAATACTAAGCTCATATATTTTAATCTCTTAACATAGGGCTATCCATATGTTAAAATATTAATAATAACAATAATTAGAAACAGTCACATTTAATAATAATAAAACACACAATGTAAATGTTCCTTACCTACGGATCTGTAGATCAAACTTGACAAAAGTATCCATCTCAGATTGTTGATGAACACTAAAATGAAGACCAGCTGAGAGCTTTAACACAAAAGAAGATATACAGATTTTAATAGGCAACATCCAGAAAGAGACTGAAGCCTGGATATTGGCTCTGAGTCAAAGCGTGATGCTGTTTTTTATAAACATTGATCTCATTCTAGCAAGCCCTATCCTATGCATAGGTTCTCCCCTTCTTTTTCCAAAGACAGCAAACAAGCAGTTGATTTCATTCTTACCTTTGTTCCTGCTTTCATAGGATTTCCAAGATCACAGACAACCAGCCGAGTTTGATTTTCAGTCTTAAATGCACATGAAAGTCTTGCAAGAGCCTGCAATGAATACCATTTTTTTCCCAAAAATAAATTGCTAAGATACAATAGTTTGTTTGGTAGACCAGGTAGTGTTTATATATAACATAATCATTATACAGTAACATATCAAATTAATTGGACCCATTTACTGGCCTTCAGAGGCAACAGAAAAAATATGCATCTGCTCTTTCTCCTGAAAGAGGGGATAAAGTCCATAGTCTAAATTATTCACTTATATTTACATTGTTTCCACAATCTCAGTCATCACTATACTTACCTCATTAGGCAAATATGTAAAATTTTGTAAATAGATGCCAATGTTGTAAATTTGGATTTAACAGACATTCAGAAGTAACAGAGACCTCTTCCCCTAAACATTCTGCTAAATGTTTAGGTTTTGCTGCAATAGCCTTTCATTATATTCTTTTTGCAGCTATCCAGGCTCCTAATATCAAAAACTCCAACATGTTACATTTCCCTTGGGTGACAATGTAAAGCAAACCAAACCAAAACCCAGTAATAGCTTTTCAAAGGCAGAAAAGCTCAAATAAATAGGTTTAGTTATGAAGCCATTACAAAACAGTTCTGGGAACTGCGGTATATCAAACGTGAGACCAATGTTTAGTGAAGTCAAGACTAAAAAAATTTGCATCCTCTGCTCAAACAGTGTAATCGGCTGGTCATCTCTTTGGGGAAGGAGGCCATGTTTCCATCTGTGTTTGGGTAACAGGCTGATCTGTTATCAGGCTGTTTACTTTTGACTATATAAGAACTAGCTCTCACACAATATACAGAAGAATAGCTGGATTGGGAATTGACCCTGGGACTTTCTGTACTGAAAGCATAAGCTGAAGCTCTGCATTACTGCTCCAATAAGTATCAGCAATAAGATCACTACTATAGTCCCATAGGACTTACCTCATTGTTGCGAACTATACCAATGAAGTCTGCCTGAGGTGGGATGGTTACAAAGAGTTCAGCTTCATAGGCTCCCTCGCCTAAGTTCTGGGTGTTGACAATTAGGGTTAATGGATTGTCATCCCCAATGTAGATTTGCTTCTGATCACTGCAAAAGACCAAGACAAAATAAAAGTGAGCCTTCTTGAACAGCGTACTTTTCCAAATATGTAAGACCTGTAGTCTAATGTCAGCTTGGAAGTAGAGTTCTTTTCAGAAGTACTTTGAAGCACAGGAACAGACTAGATTTTCATCAAATATAAATGCAAAAATCACAGGCAGTGATACAGTAAGTTCTCATACATTTGATAACAACCAGTAACAATGAGAGAAGATGAAGAGCTTTTTCTAGCTTTCTATTTCTATTAACAGGCAATTAGGTGCTTTCTGAAAGCTCCCAAAGAAGTAAAAACACAGCCATCCTTTGCTATAGAAGAGGGAATCTGAACCATGCAAGACCCCTGAATTCTGCTACTTTGAGTCATCCTAAGTTTTAAAAAAAGTGTATGATACTAGGCTTGATTGATTATGTGCCATCAAGATAGACAGGTTTGCTCCATGACGATCTGTCCCTGACCTGGTCTTTCAGGTCCTCCAGTGGTGCATCCATCGCCACTGTACTTAAGTCCATCTACAGTATCTTGCTGCTGGTCATCCTCTTCTTCTCTTTCCTTCCCCCTTTCCCAGCATTAGAGCCTTCCTTAGAGAGCTAGGTCTTTGCATAATTGAAGTAGGATAATTTGTGTCTGGTCATTTGTGACTTGAGTGAGAGCTCTGGATTGATTTGTTCAATGATCCATTGGTTTGTTTTCTTGACTGTCCACAGTATTCCCAGGAGTTGTCTCAAACACCAAAGTTCAAAAGTGTCAATACTCTTTCTGTCTGGATTCTTCAAAGTGCAACTTCCACTTCCATACAGCCTCAAGAGAATACCACTGCCTGCACTGTTCTAATCTTTGTAAGTATAGACCTATCACAGCATCTGAATATCTTCTCTACTCTATCAAAACATTACATATATGAACAGCACTATCCTCGGCTAGATAAAAGTACCCAAAGCCATCTTTATGCTTAAGAACAATTAATAAAGTTATGGAGACCACTTTTATATTACCCACAAATTCATGTTTGAGTCCCAACACATTTTGCCCCTTTCATTGTTTTTTTAAGCTAAAGCAATCTAAGATAAATGAATGTAGGTCAGAGAAATGACAGGAGGAAGACAGAGTTTAACCCTTTAATTGCCTATCATATTCCAAATTTTGCCTCTTCTCTGTATCAGTTCTTCTTCCTGCAGATTCAAGATTCCTGTTTGTGGTGGTGGTGGGGTGTGTGTGTGTGTGTATAATATGCACATTAAAAGTTACTACATGGAGAGACTACATGGAGAGGGGAAAAAAAAGATTTCAATAAAACTTGTCTCTATTGCCCTTTTCCTCTCCTTTGGCAAAATGACTTTTTAAAAAAATTGTACTTTCTTTAAATATACTTCATTGCCTACTTGCAGTTCAATCTCAAATTCATTTTATCTCTTGCATCACAACAGGTGTAGTTTACAAATACTGCAATAGTTGCACATTTGGATGATTGTACTGTGGCTTAAGAAACTAAGATACAAATAAGTTTTGGGACCAAGAATGCATTTATTTAAATTTCTCTCATTTAATTTAATTATTTAATTTAATTTAATTTAAATCATAAAGTCTCTAATTATAGTTTCTTGGACATCTAAAGCAGAAAACTATAGTTAACTCTAGCTATCTATGATTTAACATCATGACTTGTTCTGAAAATGATATATTGTCTTGTTGTTAGGAAGGCAATCAGCAGAGTTTCTCAGTATAAACAAAACAGAAAATCATATTTAAATAAAAGCTTCCTAGTTTTATTACTCATGTGAGGCAAAAGTGAAGGGGGTGTGGGCATGGGCTAAAAAGTATTTCATTTCCCACTTTAAAAAATTAAGGTATGAAATGCTGAAATGAGTCAATGTTGCCAAATTGAAGTTCGGCACTAAATCAGAGAATTCCAAACATTTCTCCATTAATTCAGCACTCTGCTAGCTTGGCAGAAATTTCCCAGACATGAATTAGCTAGATCAGAATAATTACTGCAGATAAGAATGAAGCCTCTTGTTGCAACAGATTGCCCACTGCAGTGTAGAGAATGTCAGAGACTTTATAATCTATTCTCTGGAGTTTCTTCCTCCCACACTTCCAAATTAATAGATACTTGGCTGGTTGCTTGATGGCTTGAGTGCAGCTGCCAAGACACATGAACCTAACATCTCTCTCTGGCTTGAGAACCACTGGGTCCTGCCTTGCCAATCTCAGTTTTTATGCCCTCAGCCTTTACATTTGTGTTTATTTACTCATTTGTTAATCATAGTTATATACATCTAAAATAAATCAATTCTTCATCAGAATTTACCTATCAACGGTCACTTTTAAATCTGGACGGCAGATATTGTCTTCCCCACAGTCCAAAAGAATATGAGCCTGAATTTGAGAAAAATTAAAATTAAACACAAAATACCTGACTCCTTGTTTTCGCTTTGTCAGAGTACTGATAACTGATGCAACTCACCTTCATTTTACTTTAGTGCTAAACTTAAGTAGTACTATGAAACCTTTTCTTGTGGGAATCAATTTTGCAGTAGGGAGGAGTAGCAAAATACCAACTTCGTGCTTGTAGCTTGGCTCAAGAAACAGTATTCTTCTGCTCTCCAACTCAGAAAGCAGGAACGTGATAGCCAAGAATTACTATTTCTTTTAAAAAGAGAAATCTGTGCAACTGGAGAATTTGGTCAGAAAAACTAACCCAAAGGAAAAAAAAAGTTAATATCCCTCCTTAAGAAGTCTACGATCTGGGGAAAATATAGACTTGTTAAGGATCTCCTTTTTCAGAGATCTAGAAATAGGATTATCTCAACCTCCACTCTAATACAACATGCAAAGAATAAATACATTGAAATTTTCAAAATATGTATATTTCCTAAAATAATCACATAATTAACATTTTAAAAAAAACCTTGCTGGCTCAAAAAAAAAAAAAAAGTGTATTACATCTCCCAGGTTTATACCTGTCTGCTAACGTTTGCAGGAGTGAACTGGTTGAGGATGGGCTGTAAACCAGTAGAATCCAAAGCAGTTTTGTAATCCAGTTGATATTCCATGAATATAGTAATTGGAGTAAGCTTATCTCGAAATTCAGATTCATCCTAAAAGGGAGAAAATGGGGGTTATATTTAAAATAATAATAATAATAATAATAATAATAATAATAATAATAATAATAATAATCAGAACTGCAGAATTTAGTGAATATGACTTCTATCAAATGTTGTCAGCCCTTTGAGGCAAACCAGGTCAGGAAACAGAAGTCTGACTGGAACTCTGCTTTATTGATACAAGTTCTAGTAACAGAATGTTGAAAGCTTGACTAAGTTTTCTCCTCCTTCCCTCCCTCTTATACTCTGGTGAATTAGAAAGGAGTCAATGTGAGTTATTTTGTCACCCTTTCTGTTTCCTGGGCTTAAAGTATGTCTTTGCATATGTTGTCTCTGCCTAGTTTCTCCATGGTGATTTCCATTGCTCTCTACAAAAGTCTACCACAAAGATATGCGATTGTCTGTAAGAATTGTGTTAGCCGAGTGGTAAAGAGAAAAACCATCAACTATAGAAGTTTGTCATGCTAAAGTTCCAGAGGGATTAATGAGTCAACGCACCAGTGGGATCAATGGGTAAAATGTTTCTTGTTTCTACATATTTAGTTTTCTCTGGATTGCATCACAAAAGTAGGATAACTTCAATAACATATTTAAAAGAAGATGTGGAGGCAAGCACATCTAAAAAAATAAAAATCAAGAAACTGGCCCATGCTAATAACCCGAAATCAAAACTATTTGGAATCAAGGCAATTCCTCTCCCTCCTATTATTATTATTATTATTAAGAATATTTACATAAGTAAAAAACAAATGTAAAGAAAAAAACATGAAGAAAAGAAAGAAATAAAGAGAAAGAAGAAAATGCAAATGCAAAAAAGCAAAGCGGAATAAGAAAGAAAATTAGTTAAAGAAACAAGAAAAAATAAGCAACTTCCAACCTTTTTATAAATAAACTCATTATCCCTCCTCTCACTTGGTATTACAAAAATCTCTTCAACCCCTTACTTAATTCTTTTCAATCATCAAAACTATAAATCATCACTTCACTTTTTTTTTTCCATTTTCAGCAAAAAGTCCATAAAAGGTTTCCAGTCTTTTATAAAAGTACTTGTTGTTTAATCCCTGACCAAACAGACCTGTTGTGCCATTTCTGGCAATTCTGACATCTTTACAGTCCATTCCCCCATTGTGGAAATTTCAGTGATCCTCCATTGTTGTATGGAATCAAGGCAATTCAAAAGCCAATATTTGACTCTAAACACTGGATGAAGAAATGTAACCATCCACATGGGCTATGTTCCATTTTATTTACAGCTGGACACATTTGGACATTTTGAATGGACATAGCCATTCAATTTAAAAATATAAGGAGAAAATATCTATGGTAAAGGTAAGTAATGTGCAAGTAATTAAGTTGGCTCTTGATACTGGAAACTGCTAAGGTAAACCATATGTATAAAAGAAAAACTGGATCAGGGCAAAGAACAGTTGTGCATTCTTACCCTTAAAAAAGCATCAAGTTCTTCACAACTCTTTCGACCTCCTTTGGAGACAGTCATGTTCTTTGAGTGACCAGGTTGTCTGTTGTGGAGAAACAGAGCTCGCCTTATGGCACCTTTTTGTTTAAGTTTGTCCAACAGAAGCTCCACATGGAAAGCTATCACCAAACACAAAAGCATTTTAGTAAGACAGCCTTTAGATCTGTGTGTTCCCTGCAGCAACAGCTGGTAAGGTGTTTTTCTCAGAAGTTAGAAAAGCTGTCTCTGAGAAGCATCCAAGGGAGATCCAGCACTATTCATAATGGGAGATGTGAGTTAGCAGTGGTTGCAGGAGAAGGCAAATACATTGGCAACTGCTCTTGCCCTATATGCTAGTTATCTTAGAGGGCTTTTTTAGATGTTTACTTTGAGGCCTTGTTCTCACAGTGAAATATGAGGTGTATCCTCTAGTGCAGAGGTCTCAAATTATTATGAGGGCCCCATGAGGACTAGTTCATTAGCCTAAATGCCACAACAGTAAAAACTTTTCATTAATTGAAACAAATTCTACTTATTTTTAATCATTACAGTGTACTCCATTATCTGTAGCCCTCCAGATGATGCTGAACTGCAATTTCCACCACCCACAGCAGGTTCGGCCAAGGATGAGGGATGGCGGGTTCATCATCATTATGAGGATGGTAGCCTCAAAGAGGCTATTTGAGTTGACAGCTGTTGGTGCTGGGCACCCTGCGTGACCCTCCAGATGCCTTCCTCACCTACTCTGCTCTGGTGACATATCCTAGCTGGGCTGGGGAAAGTTGACTTAGGGAGAAGAGGGGCAGTACCTGCTTGCCTTTATGTTTGTGATCCTGCCCATGTTCAGGTTGGAGTGATTGGATTAAGTACAGAAAATGAGCTAAAGGACTCCTTGTGATCTGTCAGTTTGAGAACTATGTTCCAGCGTGGACTTCATATGCACATGTGAATGTTCCCGTCTTGGCAGACATTTGCAGCAAGTATGGATGACCACAGCACTGAGCTATTTAGTGCAGTCTCAATTCCAATGTTCATGGTCTGGTAAATAATTAATCCTGAGCTTTCAATATCAGTATCAGAGGCCAGATGGATGTTGTCTGCCAGAAAGCTCATGCTGATTCTAAGTTAAGTCTGTTTCTGGCCAGCATTAAGCACAAAGCCATCACCCACATTCTAGGTAGAACTTCAGCCCAAGATCAGAATTGAGTGGTTTTGTTTATGCCTTATACTGGTGGAGCTTGGACTAGCCCTCAAAGTTTAAGGATTGACAGTTTATAGTATGAACACACAAGTGTGTTAAACTATTACCTTAGATATATAATAAAACAAATCTACAGAACTTACTGAGTTCCCTGGGGAGATTTCCTTTGCCATCAGCTTTTAAGCAGAACTTTACTTTAAAACTATTGAGGAGGAAATTAAAGAATGATTAAAACACAATAGATTTTTGGAAAAGACAGGCCAAGTTGCAAGATGTAAATCTACAAATATTGAAAGGGTACGCATTCTCATGTGCTCTCAGGTCAAACTTCCATAGCTGGGACTAGGATCCAACTCCAGTGAGATCCTTGGTTCCAAGAGTCATTGAATTTAGTTTTAAAATAATTCTTTAACATTTCTTCAATTTTCAATTATTAAATATATTCTATTACTAGATTAAATGAACTGTTCAGTAAGTAGACACTAGTTTTAGCTCAGTTTTTAATTTCAATCAACTTTGAGGAGTCTAAGATGTGTTGGATATTTGAGATAGAGAGGGGGCTCAAGAAACCTGTAATTGATTTTCACATACTTATAAATCTAATCCAAAGGGTTGGGGTGGGTATGATTAGATAAAGGAATGGGGAAATTTACACCATTCCACCGAGTACTACTTTTCTGAGTTAGCCGTCAGTTTTGTTGCAATTGTTAAAGAAAAGGCTTAGAATTCAGATTTGTGAAACTGTCCAGGATTCAAATGAGGCTTTACATCCTGCACAATGAATCTAATTCCTTTCCCATTTGGAGCAGCCTTTTACAATGTTATAAACATAAAGAAGGATTTCAGCATAGTTTCCTGCTTTAGAGTAAGGGAAACTCAGAATCAGATATAAGGAAACAATCTCTTGCGATTAAAATAATGCATTTAAATCCTGGGATAAGGCTAAGAAGCATGGTGAAAACATTCCCTCTTGCATCATTCACTTTCATCAGCTAAAGACGCTCCTGGTCCCTTCATCTGACTTACAATGTTAATTGCAAATACTTAATGTAGAATCTAGTGAACTTACCAAGAAACCTTTTGACCATTTTCTTCACAGATTTTGTTCTCTGGATTTAGAATTGTTGGGGTAACTTCTAATCCAGCATTTACGGTAATGACTGGCCGTGCCCTTTTAAAAGAACAAAGAAACAGAAAGGGGCACCTGCATGAATCAGTAGATCATAAAGGATGATGTTGTATATTATAACACTTTTGGGAAAAGGGATTTGAAGAAGAAGGTAGAAAACAGCAACAAAGAAGATCTTTTAGGCAAGAATTCTAAACAGAATTAGGCAACCAAACTAATCAAGTGGTTGGACAGCTCTGCTATGAGAATTGGGGGATTTTTTGCTTAGGTGGAAAAAAGTAACAAGTTCCACAGAGATATTGAAAATTATGCATAGAGTAGACAAGGAGAATGAGGAGAAGTTTTCTCCTACTTTCACAGTACTGGACCTTAAAGTCAGCTAATGAAGTTGAATGGGGAGAGATTCCAGGAAAATTAATATTTTCCTTCCAGCTCACAGTCAAAACTGTAGAATTCATTCCAAAAAGATACAAGAATAGCTAGCAACCTGGATGGCTTTAAAGAGAATGGGTCAAATTTATGACAGATAAAGTCACTAGTCACAATGGCTATACGTGATCTTCTGAATCAGAGACAGTGTATCTCCCAGTAAAGACTGCTAAGAAAATGTAAGTGAGAAGATGCTATTGCCCTCCCATTCTACTTATGAGCTTCCCAGAGACAAGTGGTTGTGAATGAGGCCTGGTTTCAAGCATGCATCCCATTGTAATAAGAGCTGTTTCTTTCTTCTCTAGCTGCTGACATGAACTGGGCTTCTCCACTAATATTCTCCTGGATACTTACCGGAATAATGCAACTCGGTCAACACCAAAAGCTCCTACAATCAAGTCTGGAAGTAGAAAAATATTGTATGTAGATTTTTAGATTGGACACTTGGCTACAGTTTAAAGCTTACTATCATGATCTTTAATGTTTTGCAAGTAAATAAATTAAAATAGATCTTTTTGCTGCAACCACAAGATGCTACACTGAATTCCAAAGGCAAAGATTGTTTATGGAATCCATTTCTATGGATTTTGGGAAAGTCTGCTTTAGCATTCAATTGTCAATATCAGTTATTATCTATCATTTTCTTTTCAAATATTTGCAACATACAGTACACGAAGAAGGCCTCGGTTATATTTTCTTTCCTGACTCAGGCAAAAATCAGTAGCAAATTTTAAAAAGAAAAATAAACTTTTCCTCTTAAGACAGTGTTTCTTTTCCATTTTTATTAAATTACAATATTTATTTTAAAATGAAACACCTCCAGAAATGTTACTGTGTTAGAATTCATTTTAAAATAATCAACAACAGTTGAAATGGTTTGAAGATTTTACAGAATCTGTAATTTATATAATACCTGGAATTACCACCAGAATTTAAACACAGCAGAACCCAAGAGATGTAAGAATTCTGGATTAATGAGAAGGGAGAGAATCCATTTATCCTGACTGAGATAGAAAACCAGAACCCAATGAACACTTTTCTTTCATGCTATTTTGCCACACAGCCTTGCATTGTATTATATTCAGTTGTGTCCACTAACTATAATGGAATGCAAAATAGAGTCTGAATATCCCTCAACTCTGTTCCAGAGAGTAGAGAACATTCTAGAGCAGATTTGGGGGTTATATGAGGGTGAATTGGGAATAGAGAGGAGTGAGAGGAAGATCCACTGCATATATGCAAATATATTTGCACCCCACTGAACATAAGCCGTTATCACTACTGAAATATCACCTGGGTAGCCATTTTTGTCCACATCAATAGCTCCTTTCAGTGCATATCCAAAACTTGGTGGCATTGCTTCAGAGGCCCACTGTCCTTCAAGGACCTGAGACGGCATTCCATTCAATCCTGTGGCTCTCCCATTGTAGATATAAACCAGTCCTTTCTTGTCTTCTCCACCATAAGGTGCTGCAACTGCTATGTCTACAAGCAAAATAGAAAATCTTTAGCATCTCCAAATATGAACAAGTACAGGGCTATGGAACAAAGGGCTATGGCATAACTTGGACTAACCCAATGTATATTCCAACGGGTTCTGCCATAACCCATTTGAGTCAGCAAGAGATACTGAAACCATTCAGAACAGTGGACTTCCTCTTAAACATGGATTACTGCCAATTCAATATGATAGATATATTTTCAAATCAGGAGCATACATATAGTCCTTGACCTATGACCATTCATTCAGCGACCATTTGAAGTTACGATGGCGCTGAAAGAATGGTGGTTACAACCAGGTGTTGGAGTTTCAGCCATCCCAGCACCTCTGTAATCATGTCATCGTGATCTGGGTACTTGGCAACTGGTTCACACTTATGACTGGTTGCAGTGACCTGCAATCACATGATCACCATTTGTGATCTTCCCTGACAGCTTCCCCAGAAAGTCAATGGGGAAGCTGGCAGGGAAGGTTGCAAGTTGCTGGGGTAAATCTCCCCACCCACGCACCCTCATCCAGCTCCTCTGTGCTTGCACCGCACTGGCCACTTGCGCACCCGTGTGCACCCTACCCAACCCATGCTGTGCCTCCCTCGCACCCTCTCGCACCCTCATGCACCCTCACTGGCCCTCTCTGACAACCCTGTGTACCCCCTTGCCCTCCCCACCTGGCAGCAGCCATTTACCTGCCTGCCGGCCTAGGACTTGCAACTTCCTGCCAGCTTTTCCACTGACTTTGGTTGTGGGAAACTGGGAGGAAGTTGTCTTGCCTAACGACTGGGATTCAGTTAACTATGACAACTGGGACCATAGAGATTGCTGTCGCTAAGCAATGCGGTTGTGTTTTATGACCGCATCACTTAGCGATGGAAATGCCAGTCCCAATTGCTGTCGTAAGTTGAAGATTACCTCTGTAAAGATACATTTTCAAATTCAAAGTGTAAAGAATGTTAACACTAATCCTATTAATTAAAGATGGCTCTATATAAGGTAGTACTTGATACAGAAGTATAGGCCATTCTGCAGTTAAAATAAAAATATATATTATGCTTTATGACTGCAGTACTTTTTTCAATGTTTAGTATTTTAAAAAGATACATTAACTCAAATACATCATTTGCTTGCTAGATTAGAGCAAGGCCTATCAGAGCATTCAATAAACAAAAACAGCCATCCTGAACCAAACCACAGGGTTTAATTGAGCTATAACTAAAAAAATTTAAATCCCCGCAGTGCTAAAAAGTTTAATCAATACAATAGTAACGACAACAACGACTAATATATTACCATTGAAGCCATCCTGGTCAAGGTCCCCCAAAGGGGCAACTGAACTGCCAAATCTTGCAAAGACTTCAAAGCCATTCAACTTCATGGTTGAACTTCGAAACCCTCCAGAGGCTTGTTGAAGATAAAGAGACACCTGGCCCACTTCCAGAAGCTTGCCATCTGAACCACGATCCATAAAGAGTGGGGCACCTACAAGCAAATCTGTGTAACTAAAGTTGGGGGTAGAGGCAGAGAAAGAGGGAGAGAAAGTTGTTCATTCAATACAAAGATTGCCTATGTTATCTGCATAACTGTAGCCCACTATGCTTCATGGAGTACCACAGTGACTGGGGGAAGGAGGAGAAGAAGAAGAGCCCAAGAATGCAAGGAGCTGCATATGACTGGGACTGAATCCCAGATAATATTTCTTGCAGCCAAAAGAATGATAAAGTAGGGAAGACTGAAATCATAACAAGCTTACAAGAGAATCAGTGCATCAGTGGTACTTACGCCTGAGTTCTAACATCCTTAGGACTGCACAGGGGGTATAATTCATTATGACCAAAAAAAAAAAACCCAGAGACATTTTTCAGTCATAAAAATGCAGCAGCCAGGAGTGAATGGGGAAAGAAAAAGGAAAGGAAAGAGGTAGAGGAGTAGGAGGACTAGAGAAGATAGTAGAGCTGGATGGAAGTACAGGTAGCCTTCGTTTAGTGACAATTAGGACTGGCAACTCGGTCATTAAGTAAAGCGGTTGCTAAGTGAAACCGTGACTGTGCTTATGATCTTACTTCAGCTTTCCTTTGCTTTACAGACCTTTGAAGTAAAGTTACTTTTTCATCACCATCGTAACTGCGAATAGTCGCTAAACAAGGCAGTTGCTAAGTGAAGACTACCTATAAAGGCTGATGAGAAGAGATTCAGGCTGGGGAACCTCTAGAAATACAATCAAAAGGAATAATTTCTGCACCCACAGGATTTGAAGCTCTACTATGGAGGATTCAAAAGACAATGTACTGTAAATATTCGTGGATAAGCCAAGAATGTTAGGTTCCAAAATACACCTGAAAAATTGGGATTGGCTTATCATGGCCTTAAAATCATGCAGTTTAGAAATGATGATGTAACAGTTTGCACTTTCCTGCCTCTTGCTGTGATTAAAAATTTGAGTGTCGGCTTATCTGCAGGTGATGCATTTTTCATGGTATTTTGGTTGAAATTTTGATGGTCAGCTTATCTGCGATTATATACGGTATGTGTGAAACGTTTGGAGAACTATATGAAGCAATCTTAGCAGAAGAAACCCCCCAAAGGGGGAGAGGAGAGAGAGTTAAATTTGCATGTTAATAGATTTCCATTGTTCTTTCAAACATTTTATTTTTACCTTAGGCAAGATTTTACAGAAATGGATAATTCTTCCTTTTCAGGAAGTACGAAACAAAAGCATAACTTACTGATCTCCATTGATATCTGTGGCAGCTACAGAATATCCAAAATAAGCAGCCATCTAGGTAGCAAAGTTGAACAAAAGAAATGTTGCATTAAACAAAAATAATTAGGAGTTAGAGAGCGCTTTATGCCTGATAAAAGCTTCCTTGCCATGCATATTTCAAAGATCTTATCTAGGTCGTACCCTTTTTTCCTTTGTTATTTCTGCATGTTTGTTGCCTTATTGTGAGAACAGAAAAATATAATGTTTTCTCTTATTATAGAAATCACACAGATCACATTCTAGATATTCTCTGCCCTTATCATTACTCATAGAGTTTCAATTCTAAGAGGAGTAAAGAATATTTATAAATGGTAAGGCTGGTACAGTGGAAAAGGGACTGTAGTTGAACATGGATGCCCTCAAGCAAGGTTTCTCAACTTTGCAGTGTTATGATCTCCTAAAATGATAAATGAATTGATTCCACCCTCCCCTTGGATAATGATTTAATGGGGGTTAGAGGTGGATAAGAAATATGCCATTGAGTTTCAATAATTAATTTTTAATCTATCAAAGCAAATAACTTTACAACTTTATACAAAATAAAACATTTTCATTGGAAATTAAAAATAAAAGTTAAATAAAATTTAAAACCATATTTCTAATAGGAAGGATGAACTTGTTTAGTCTCACTTAATTTCTGAAGTGTGAGTTTTATTTCTGAGACAGCCACTCTTATTTCTTGTTCCACATTTAATTTAGATGGGTCATTCTCTTTACAGCAGCAACTACAGAAAACCTTGATTTTGTTATCAGGTTGACCGGGTAGAACAGGAGTAAGTTCTGGCAAAGATCCTCCTTTGAATTTACACTCTGTCCTCCTCCTCCCCTAGCATTTGCTCACAACCCCCCAGGGCGTCATAATCCACAGCTGAAAACCCCTAAGAGCCTGGAGAAGAATAGACTGTGAGACATGATGGCTGTCTTCAAAGTGTGAAAGGTTGCCATATGGATATAGAAGAGGAGTCATTCTCTGTGGGTCAGATGAGGAGGATCAGAACAAATGGCTGGAAATTGCAAAGCTGAAGATTTTGGCTAAGCTTTAGGATAAAATACAGACATAAGAACTCGTCAACCATGGAACAGACTGCTTTAGAAGATGATGGGTTCTCTTTTGCGGGAAGAATAGCCTGATCAGCCATCTGTGAGGGATATGTTGTGTGCATCCTATACTGTAAATCCAGCAGTGAGCGGGTGATTAGATCAGATGACATATGCTTTCAAATATGTGATTGTAAGAGGTAAAAAATAATGTTTTGCCATTGACCCAGTTCAGACTAATTATTATTTTATTTTATTATTATTTTATATTATATTAGTAACATTATTTATTGCTTCTTCCATCAGCCATTCCACTGGCTAGAATCAGAAGGAGCCATTAAACTGGGAAGGCATCTTCCATCAGCTTAGCCAAGATCACCAGGCAGAACTTCTTTTCTCAGGATTGTGTTATACCATAGCCATGACGTTTGAATTTGATCATTACAGCTGGCTTATGATCATGTTTTTCATTCTAAAATATTTTTCTTTCCTACTTTGTTCTAACTTATTTTGTGTATTATTTCACCAACATTCCTATCCCGGTAAAAGATAGACATAAATATAAAAATATTTTCCTCTTATAAAAACCAAGTCGTACCTGTTCTCCAGTGAAGTTATACATGGATGCCATGGTTTCCCCATTGTAAATGGACACCTGCACAATATATATAAATAAAGTTCTGTACTGTTGCACATTTAAATGGTTGCTAAAAAAAAAATCAATTATTCAACATGATCTTATTTAAATTCCTTACCATGCCCAAAGTTTTAGCTGCTCTTGGGACGCCAGACACAAAATCTGAAAATAGAAAAGGAATTTTCAGTAACCTGCACAGATAGAATCAATGTCCTTCAGAAAGTTTTCCCATGTAGTTCACAATCCTATTCTTATTTTCACAGAGGTTTATCTTATTAATTTTATCCATTAGCTACAAGAGGACTATTTTAATTAGAATAGGATGGATTTATACTGAAGTTCCAAAGTACAAATTCCTTGAGTTCGTATAGGTTAATAAAGGTATACAAAGCAACAAAGACAATAGATATCATATACTGTCAGTAAATAATGGTAGGAAGCCTGGAAGAATCTTGCAAAAAGGGAACAAGATATATAGGTAATTCTCCTTACACACAGATTCCTTTTAAAAATGTTGTCTCCTTTTCCTTTTGCTTTGATTTTTTTCAGCCGGTTTGAGCCAATGGCATATGTCATTTCTGAATAGGTACACTATTTACTTCTTTTTCACTCCTGTGCCTACTTTATTTTTCCTCTGGAAGGTTCCCAACCTTCAAGAGGAGATTTGAAGTCTGTGAGTTCTTGGGGTTTTCTGAGCTTGGTTGTTTTCTTGCAGATGTTTTGTTACCCGCCTAGGTAACATCTTGGGGTAGAGTGCCCTTCTAGCACTGAAGATGTTACCTATCAGATAACAAAATGTCTGCAAGAAAACAACCAAGCTCAGAGAATCCCAAGAACTCCACAGTTCAACCCTGAGCCACATATATTCTCTTCTATTGATTTAAGAGGTATGATGTGGGGAAGAGACAGCGAGTCCACTTCACCAGTGATACCCATTCCACAGCTGGAGGAACACAGTTGGTGGCACACTTCCGTAGGTCCAATTCATCTGTTACCCAGGGGTACAACTGCCTTTTTGGAGTGACTTGATTCCATGTTGCTCAAACAATGTTGAACTGTAGAATTACATCATGGGGGAAATTATCTTATACTGGTATCATGCTTCTGCAGGAATCCAGTGAAGCTTTCAAAGGCAAGTACCAATTGTGCCTCCTTAAAATTTTGGGCATCAAGATAATATGGGCATCCATGGGGGAAGAAGGGAGGGGAATGATAAAACATGTGTTACATCACAACACAAATTCTGTCCCTCATATACTTGCATGGGATGTTGTGATGAAAACACAGACAAAAAAACAAGGCTTACATTGTGAGGTCAGATTTTGTCATCACCATGGCTAGCTGAGGAAGCTTCTGAGAGGCAGTATATATTGAAATGACACTAACAGTCAAAACAGTCTTCCATTTTCACAATCACTAATGTGGCTCAGAAACCTCTCACTTATATCTGCAATGAAAGCAGAAAGAATTTTCTCTGATCTTTACCCTTTCATAACCCCAAGGGCAGATACAGTAGCTGAGATAAATAGACTCAGACATGTAAAAGTTGATACAGATTTCAACAGAGGTCATCTTGATTATTCATTTCTCAGCACTTCCTCAAATCTCTTTCCTGTATTCAAAACTCATTAGTTTCTGGATTTTTTTTTTTGCAAATATGAATAAGACATACCTTCTATGCCATCACCACTGAAATCCCCTACAGCAACTGAATAACCTGTCAAGTGTGAAAATGAGAATTTCAAGAATTAATATTAATAATTCAATAATGCGTGGGAAAGTAGATATACATACCCAAAGACATTTTTACATATCTATTTTTTAAAAAGTCTGTTCATAAAGCTGCTGAAATCATTCTCACTGTTGATTAATAGGGGGTGCTATTTCTCTTGCAAAATTAGAAAAAACTGAACATATAACTGAAGAGCTAGAATTCTCTATCCAATATAGCTTAAATACAGTCTGCATTCTTTAAATAATACAGACATACAAAAGGTACAAACTTCAGAGTTGGCCACTCAGTTGATGCTTTGCATGTCCCAACGTCCATCTGATACATATGCATTACATTTACAGGTATTCCTTGGTTAATGACCATTCGTTTGGTGACCGTTGGAAGTTATGGTAGTGCTGAATGAATGGTACTTATGCCCAATCCCCAAAGTTATGTCCATTACAGTGCCCCCATGGTCACGTGATTGCCCGCATTTAAGACCTCAGGGAAATTTCAACTCTGCCCACTTGCCTATCTCCCCCTCATCTTTGCCCTTTTGTCTGCCCTGCACAGCCACACTCCTCGGTGGCGGCAGTGGCACTGGGGCTGAAATAGTGGCCTGAGGCCTTCAGCAGTCTCAGCTGGCCGCTGGCCCCCAGGCCTCTACTTCAGCCCCAGTGCCACCAGCACCAAGGAGTGCTGCATCAAGCCCCGTGCTGTGGCCAGCCACCCCAGCACCCCAGCGCAAAGCCCCAGCCACCACCACTGCCCTGTGCTCTGCCAGCCCCGCTGCCCCAGCTGTCCTTCACCATCTTCTTCCTTCTGCTGCTAAGGCATGCCCAGCCTAGACCTATGCGAGGCAGGCGCTAGCCATGCCAGGCCTTCTTCCTGAGGCCATGTGCACCCTTCTCCAAGTCACATGTAGCCTTCTCATGATGCTTTTGAAGGCATCTGAGGCCTTCAGAAGCACTGAAGCATTGCAAGAGGCAGCCGGCTGAGACTGCTGAAGATCCTGGGCCTCTCCTTCAGCCCAATGTCACTGCTATTGTCACTGCCTCCGAGCAGTGTTGCTGTGCAGAGCAGCCAAAAGGGCAGAGATGGGGGGGGGGATAAGTGGGTGTGGGGAGTTCAAGAGAAGGCAGCCCCTTACCTTACCGAGGCTTGGGGCTGGGAGGGACCAAGCTGGGAATGGCTTGGATCAGTGTGGGTCCTTGCCTAACGACCGATGGATTTGGTTAATGATGGCAACTGGGACTGCTGGGATTGATCTTGCTAAGTGATGTGGTCATATGGTGTTGCGCTTTATGACCGCATTGCTTAGCAACAGAAATTCCAGTCCCAATTACCGTCGTTGACCGAGGACTACTATATAATATTTGCCGCTAAGAGACACACAAAGCCTTTTTCTTTTACATAGCAGCGTGATGAGGCTGTCTTGATTATCATAACTGAGGGCACTACTAGGAATTGGCACACTTAATAACTAATCCTGAATTTTGAAATAGTTGAAATATTTCCTTCAATCACTGTCAAACATCAAAGATTGGATAGAAGGGTAGCTAGGAAGAGTTTGCAATTGGAGTTTGAATCTGAATTTGAACAGAGAAAGCAGTAAAGAACTGGAATTGATTACTGCTGAATAACTTTTTTTTTTTGTTAAGTTTTATCTCTTTAGGAATTGGATGCAGGTTTATTGGTCATGTTACCAGCTGTATAAGTTTGCTGGTTTCCATTATGCTCTACTTGTACATTTGTAAGTTATGTATTGACAAAGACATTTCCCCTAAATCTCTCACTTCTTAGGAATGTGGGGAAGTGAACTACATAGCATTAATCTTATCCATGTATAGTTTGTGTGCATGACAGATAACAAACATAAATCCAAATGATACAAAATCCAGAAGTTAGAAACAGGTACAAAACAATTCCACTCTGCAATAAATAACTAATGGTGTATGGTGTATTTCAGTAGTAATTGTGTCTATAAAAATGTTCATATTACTGGAATTCTGAGATTCATTCCAGCTGGATTTATCTGAAAGTATCATTTTCTTAACAGAAGTCATATTGTGACCCTCTGACATCCACAAATGGATAGATGTCATTTGTGTATCAGGTCAAGACAGACAGACAGACAGACAGACAGACAGACTCTCTATATCAGCCCCTATTTTGCAACACTATCTCCTGCAGAAAATAATTTCTCTCGTTCCTACTGGGCATCACAACTTGAAGAAAGAAAGTGAAAACTCTTCTGTAAAAATATGCTAATCATATGGCACAATGTTAATTTGGCTATATTTAGAATGGTTCTTCTTTCAGAAACATCAAAAACAAACATACAACCCCCCCCCATACTTTCACTGATTGTATTGGGAAGTTTCATCCCAGTGAGTGTTAGGATGAAGAACCCCAAGCTTGGTCTTACCACAAATATAAACAGTTCCTGTTTCAGAGTCAAGTACTCACCCAAATAACTGTCATCAAAAGTAGCACTAGCTGACCGCGTTGCTAACTGGTGGTCATATTTGGTTGTGTAGATTTTAGTGCTGTATTTTGACACAATCTCAGCCACTTGATCAGAAATTAGCTGGCCTGGAGAAAAGCAAAAGGGAATACCTTGAAATAATACAGTTCTGAGCAGATGTTTGTTGTCTCTTCATAGAATGCAATTCTATAACGTCAGTTTAGAAACTAGTCCTATTGAGTTTAGTTGGGCTTATTACTAGGTAAGTGGGAATAGGACTGTAGAGGAAAGTCAAACTGAGTCTGAGAATAAAATAACATTTTTTTGGTTCATTTCAGTAAAGAGGCATAAAGAATTTAACCAACCATATCTCGTGCCAGGCAAAAGGGGATAAAGACAGCATGATCCTAAACCACAACTGAGAGCAATTAGTAGGAAAACCTGCCCAGATTAATCTCTACAATGGTGTTCTGTTGTAGAAAAACAGCAGCCTTGCAGCATTCTACAGACAGACATATTCACTGCTGCTTTTGTAGCCAGGATCCCAATTTAACAGAACCACGAAGCATCAAAGCCTAACATGCAGATGGGCATAACTGAGTCTCTACAACTTCCCCTACCCGCCCTAATCCCAGAAAAGGCACTTCAGAATTTTGAGCAGAGCAACAGCTTGGTGTCATAGTTAAGTGTGGTGAAATCTCTAGATTGCAAAAACCAGATGACAGTTTAATGACAGTAAGAGTTTGCTGCTTCCTAGTGACCATCTGAAGTTTGGCAGCCCAGATAGTGTAACCCTATGTATAATTTGATTAAATGTAAATGTTCATTACTGTTTGAAAATTAAGCTACTTCAGGAATGTGTAGAGACCATAACCATTGTTCACATATTATACTGTATGCTTAGGCCTCTGCCCTTCAGCAGGATAATATCTTATTTTATATGGGGTTTCTGTAATACTCAAGTGCCCCAAAAAAGATATTTCTGCTTTGCAACAGGGAACCCCCCAAAGTTAATGCATTTTCCCTTCTTTCAGCTGCTTATAGTCTTATGTGGTTCAGGAATCTCATCACACACACACACACACACACACACCAGCGGAGAAAGATCAATAGGAAAAAAGGCTAAGCACTCCCATCACATCTCCATTCCAACCACTTCTAACTTGCAGATTTTTTTTTTTCTGGAAGAAAAAAATAATAATTTTTGTCTTATATCAGGCCGAGAGAAATCAAATTAGGCATGTGTCATTTAATTGATCAGATGCCTTGTTTTACCTTGCCAATAAAAGCTTCCGGGTCCTCCAAGAAGAACTCTATCTTCCTAGAGTGGAAGAGACAGAGAGAAAAAGAGATTCTTTATGGTAATATCTAAAAATATGTACCCAGACTGAGCTGAATTTGTTATAAAATTCAGTGACTGGAGATTGCCTCAGATTTCATCACTGCGTCTGATCAAAGACATACTTTTTCAGACATGTCTTGAACGTCATATAATTCCCTTCACAGAGAATCCTAGCCAGTCCAACGCTAGCATTTTTTGTTTTTATTTCCCCCCATATTGCTAACTGCATTCATATTTTGTGGTATAACTTCAACTCCCTGTTTCCTATTTCTGCAATATTCTGTGAATCATTGAAAAAAAATTTCTAGGAAATGTTGCAAAACATATCTCATTTAAATCTCACTGCTGCCCATCGATTGAATAGATGCTGTTAGACAAAGTATTTCTTCCTCTCAATCCCCTGACTGAAAACATGGGATAATAATTCTCACCTACCATACAGAATGGTTAAGACGCTGGTGTGCCTTAGTTGTAAAGCTAAGCCATAATTTAGGGATGCGAATATGAGCTTGCTCAAGCCCAGAAGTGAGTGCCTTCTCTTTTCTGTCCTTCTCCAGGAAATATTAGGAGGCGGAAGAGATTGGAAGCATCATCTTCTAGGTTTACACCAACCAAGGCTTGCCATTAAATCCCACACAGTGTGGTCAGTGGCAGCTGTGGCAGGTACAATGATGAAAGCAGGTAGAAAGACACAAGCAGTGTTGGGATGCAAACCTCACTCCTTTTCTACAACTGTCATGATGTTGCACGCACATATGAAAGGAATGGAGCTTATAGCACAATATTGCTTTTACTGTTCTGAAAAAAGCAGCAAGCCCCTATGGACGCCTATCCTTGTGGTTGGTAAAGTTCCATCAAAGAAGTCAAGATCAGACTGGTTTCTGACACTGGCTTATTTTACCAGGTCACATTTTACTAAATTTAGTTTCTGGTTTGAACACTGCACTTATATCTGGATGCTATGATAAACAAGTAATGACTTGAACAAGCCTTGCATGTTCTAGGCTAACACATAGTTAAATTAATCACAGATGCATGCAAGCAAAAATCTTGGAAGTGCTCCTCACGGTTAGAAACAAGAAGGAAGCATGAGCCAAGGTAACATGCAGGCTCATTTATATAATCCTAAATTTGTAGGAAGCACATCCCAACCAAGCCAATCCTTCACTTAACCCTCCCAATCCCTCACTTAATCTATGCATTTACTGCATGGGAAGAAATACATTTTCTATGCTAAATATCAGGTGCAGTCCTTTGCCTAGGGCAGCTGAGATGACAGAAATTACCTCCTACTCTTTCTTTTTCTCTTTCATTTCCAGCATCTGGTTATTGAAACTCACTGCTCTACCTATGGTGGACCCATTTTCTGTTACCATAATGAAGAACGTGTGTACATACAGAGGAATATATGCGCATTGTCTGTGTGTATAATATCACAGCATTTTAAATTAAAATTTCAGAATTAAAATATTTGAAGGCTGCTTAACATATGAAAGCAAAGAGAATTTTTTAATCAAGTTCTCATCTCAGTGTAAAGGAACAGGATCCAGTGAAGGATTAACAGGGTATCTCCTTTTTAGTCAATCATTTTCTTTGCTGATTTCCTCCCATGCAGTGCTGGACAAAATAAATTATTTCATCTAGGACGGGTGGAGGCAAAAAAGACAAGAGAGGGGCTATGGCTATACCATCAAAGCCATACCATTTACACATGCATGCAATATCAATACAGGTACAAAAAGGGTGGGGCTTTGATGGCATGGTGACAAACCCATTTTGCCCTTTTTGACACTCCCCGCCCCCGGGGGGGATGCCAATGCTTCACAGCAACTTTACAAAAGTATACTTTTGAGGCCACAGGAATGAAACAATAACATGTTGCTTGTAAAGTTCCTCTGATAGATTTGACTGCCCAGGGTTGGGTTTTACAGATATTTTGCCCTTCACTGTGGAGGTCTGAGATAGGAGACATGCAGAAATAGCTTCCATACCTGGGTAAAATCAATGCTGAATCCACCTTGACAAAAGCCCTGTCCTTCAGCATCCGTGCTTGCTATGATAATAAGAAAAAATGGAAATGATTGTAAGGTTACGTAACACAAAATTGCTATGCAACAGTAGGAAAAACTGGTGTGCAAACTGAGGAGGCTATGACAGCTGCTTTGAAGGCAAGGATAAGGCAAAAAAGTTATTACTTCTGGGAAGGATGGCTTGAAGAGGGAGGAAATAATCAGCATTCTGCACTCTGGATACCTTGTAGGGTCTCACAATCTTCAGAAGAGCAGAGGAAGAGAGGGGCAGTGCTAATTCTAATCATCTCCTTTCTTTCAAAGTAGCACTGTGTTCTACTTTATTTCAGGAAAAGTCCTTAATCTTTACAGGAAATATCCCTGGAGGCTGTGGCTCTTCTGGATAGCCTCATATTAAAGGGTGCCAAGGTCTTCTTACTCTGTCTTCTTATAGAGGTTTTAGTTTTTCCACTCCCCCACATCACTGTGAGGAGCCCATAATTCAGCCTTACCTCCTCTCTATTTTTTAATCTGCAAGTACTTCTTAGGGGGAAAAAAAGACAGTGAGAGGCTATATTCAGTCCTGCAATCCCTCACTCGGACTTTAAGGTGATTCAGGCCAGTTGCAAGGTGATCACCTCATCAGCTGCTTTTGAGAATGTGTTTCAGCGTTTCATGGGTTCAAAACCTTGTACTTTCTACAGCTAAGACAAAACTGCATACTTGGCAACCTGCTAGGAGAAGCACAGCCAACAAACCATGTATTCTGTACTGCTTGACAATTACATTTCTGAACTTGAACTCAGGCCCTGAAAGCAAAATTATTAACCACCATCCCTCTTACATCAGTCGATGGGACTTCATGGGACTTTGTAAATCTTACATGGTGCAGATCTGATCTACAGGCATGCTGAACTAATGAGAAAAGGATTTGTTCTGAAATATTACAAACAGAATTAGCTTAAAATACTGCCTGTTTCAAAATATAAATGTGAAGAATATGCACACTCTAGAATGACATATTGCCCTTTTCTTCTGTATTTACAATGCAGCTACGGCCAGACATAGCAATGAGATACAGTTTGCATTTAAAACCGGAAACAAAAAGACATTTCTGTGCTGATCCCTTACAGGCCAAGAGAGAGCCCAAGAACCTTTATGATAATGGTTAATCCTCTGATTATAGAGCTTTACAAGAGAAATACTAACAATCTTTTCATTTGTATGGTCTTCTGATCTTGGCCTCTCTTTTAGTTTTGCTATTTGAATAGAAGGTTGGCTGGAAGAGATGGCCAGTAAACTCCAAGATGGTTCATTGATTTCTTTTGAATCCTAGTAGGAATGGGCCACATGTGCTGGCTCCAGTTCATACATAATTTGGATTTGTTGTATTATTTCCCCCAAATCTTCTAGCAGATCAGTTTGTTCCTGCTCATTTGGAAAAAGGGATCCATTTGAGGGCAAGTATGAAAGGACAGAGCTTGCATTATGATGTCACAATCCATGTTTTATTATTCTGGCATCATCATGGTTAGGTACAGATTGCACTACCTGTGAAATGGTAGAGATTGTGGCAGATGGGACAGAACAAGCAAATCACTGTCATCACACTCCATCACTCTCTTCCATCCATTTCCAGATTCAGAGCTTTACAGTGTTTTCTATGATATCCAACTCTAGAGTAAGTACTAAAAATATATATGATTTTTGTCCTCTCTCAATTGTTTTCCCCTTAAGGATCCATCCAAATGACTGTACAGAGATGAAGGAAAGAGACAGAAAATATGGGTGTTTAAGGCACATCCCTACAAACTGTGCATAAAATATGCATAGAAAACAGATTCTAATCTCTAATTACAACAGCAAGACATTCTCTACATACTTGACCTGCAAGGAGCGTATTCAACAGCTTTAGACCCATCATGAAGATAGCAAGTTCCCACAGGTTCTCTCTGTGCTTTCTGTTCAGTTCTCCAGTGATATAAAGGAGCACACGCCTGCAGATGAAGTATTTAGAAATCTCTTTAAAAAGGGCCATGGCCATGGAAAAAATCAAGAGAAAAGAATGGTTATGAGCAACAAGCAGCCCCTGAACAAATGGCTATAAAAAAAAACACCTATGTATTGGTGACAAGTCTATTCAGTTGAATACTGTTTCTTTATATACTGGATGCACTCTTCAAATAAGACACATTATGTGGTTTTTAAAACAACTGGGCTGGAGAAAATCCCCCCTACCCCCCCCCCCCAAAATGCATGTTAAATTTGCAATGAGTCCTACTATCAATTTGCTGGCATTGCTAAACTATGAACTTGGAGGAATCAATGTGCTATATTTTATAATTCAGTTAAGTAGTGGCTTCATGCATGTGTTCAAATGATCCAAGAAAATTCAGGGGAAACAGGTTGTACATCAGTTTTATGCTGCTGTGCAATGAAGCTTGGAGAATTTCCATGTATCTAAAAGGCAGTTTGTTCCCCACAGAGCATGACTGAGAAATAGACTCCATGATGGTGTAAAAAAGACACAGGGTTTGGTTCAATGGCAGGGCCTTCCAGGAGACAGAATCAAGTTTGGATAAGTCTCAAGGGGTAGGAAGTAACCTTCCAATGAACTCCAAATTACATATTTTCTCTCCTTCACATACATGAATGGTTGATATTCATACTTAGAAAAAGTAAAAAACAATGCATGGAAGCCTGTTTTGATTGGGTTCCTTTCCATCATAAACCTGAATGCTTAACCATCATGAACAGGGATTTTGCTGAAAGATACAAAATGTCTTTTTGGATAAAAGAGTTAGTAGAATCTTGCCATACAGAAATGATACCCATGTGGGTTACACAAGTAGCAATAAGTAAATACATTTATATACATATGAAGCATGCTGCCACAGTACATAAGACTATCATATCTGTGTACTGCATCACTGAAGTTTCCACAGGCAACAGTGTGGTTACCCCATCAACCCTACCCTTCCTGACATAAGATACAACTTTTGTCTTCAAGGTATGACATGCCCCCTTCTTTTGCCTCACAACCTTGTTTGGTTAGAAAAGCAGCAACTAGAAGAACAGGCAGACCCTAAGGCTACAAGCAAATAACTACCTCTTTTTTAATCTTACATATCCTCATATCAACTTTATGTCCTGAATCAATTAAATCTACCTACCTGCTGTATCCATCCATTCACCCACTCTATCTAGAAATTTCTAGACCACTCACTTTCATGGGGAAATTTAGGCAGTTTACAGCTGGAAAATAACAACAAACAATAACTCCATCTAGTCTAATTTAATCTGATGTAATGTAAGGCATTAGTATAATCAGTGCCCATATTAGTTCAACTTGTGAGGCCTTGCTAATGTATTGCTGGTTGGTCTGTCCTTGGTTGCCATTTTATCTTTTATTGTACATTATGCTTATTTGTTATTGCACTAGTGTTTTTAAGCTGTGTTAGCCACCCAGAGCTGCTGTTGCAAGATAGGCAGCCTTATAAATTGAAATAAATAAATATTCCCTATAGAGCAATTCAGTTTTCAAGGCTTTCCTGAAGGCCGGGGGGGAGGAGCATTCCTTATTTCAGCAGGGAGGGTGTTACAAAGAGCAAGGGCAGCCATGGAGAAGGTGTGTGATCAAGCCCTCACTCTTCGTACCTCGCACAAGATGCCTCTCCTCAGGAGTAGATGCCTCTCCTTTAGCATGCCTCTCCTCAGGAGTAGATGCCAATCTGGATGGCAAAGTGGCATCAAACCACGTGGTGCTTTAAAGGGGAAAACCAGGACTTTGAATTGGTCCCAGAAACCAACCGGTAACCATTGTAGTAACCATTGATTGGATGCTAAACTGTTGAATTTGCTACTCCCAGTTAGCAGATGGTCTGCTACACCGATCTCTGGCATTCAAACTGAGAGACAGTGTGCTCTTGACACCACCTTCTTGAGTTAGAGTTGACAGAAATAAGGATTTCAATACAAACCAATGCAAGCCAAGGCTTTATGCATGCTGGCTAGGAATTCTGGGAGTTGGTCCACATATCTTATAGCTGCTGAGGTTGAGAAACACTGGCTTAGAAACTTCAGTTTCTGTTTTCAAAGTCCTAAACATAGGTTGCTAGAGTATTCAGTGAAGTGGTCACATAATGGCATGGTTTTGCTATCTCCACTGACTGCCGATCCATCTCCAAACCTGATTTAAAATGCTGCTTTTAAACCTTAAAGCTCTAATTGACTTTGGCCCAGATTAACTGACAAAACTGTATTTATCTACTGGATTTTAAAGCCATCTATGGCTCTCTCCAAAGAAGTGACCTGTAAGAAAGAACTTTTCATATCCTTTTCAGAACGTACATTTGGATTATTGTAAAGTGATTCATTTTGGCGCAGAAGCTGAAGACTTATTTAATCTCTTAAGCATGTTATGATTGGAGTACTTTTAGAGTATTCACTACTTTGTTTTGTTGCCAGTTTTATTTTGATTTTATCATGTGCCTTTAAAACACGTTATTGTTTCCTAAATGTTTTTATTGGTTTGTATTTTATGTCTCAGTTTATATGGTGATTGTAATAGTATGCGAAAAGCCTTAAAATGAAGACTTACCAAAATTTTATTCTCTTTAGATCTCACAGATGCTCCAAACCATTGATGTGATTTGAATTCCAAAAGATCATCTACAGCAAATTCTCTGTTGCCTAGAAGACAAAATGTTTAGGCAGAATTCTATGAAAATGATCTTGGATTGTAACCACATCCTAATGAATATCAAACTTTCTGAAGGGGTTAAAGACATATTCTCAAATATCACTAGTTTTTTCATCACTTGACAAGTTGATCACTTCAAAGCGAAGTTTGTGAACTGATGTCACACATCTCAGTGCTTGAGATGATGTGACATAGCAAATGTATCTGAAGTGACTAATCTAGAAATTCACCAAGAGCACACATTCCTCAAAAGCAATATTCGCCGTTAACAGCCTGCTTGCCTACAAAGGCCTGAACCCCATCTCGTCACAGACTCTGAGACAGATCTCTCTGGGACTTGATAATGGTCATGGTCCATTAAAAAATGATTGAAGTACAAATATCCTCCTCATAAATTTGAAAGAATGAGACAGTATAATTTGTTCACCATGTCAGGTAACTAAAAAGGTGTTCCTCCCTCCCTCTCTCCCAGAACATGGAAAGAAATAGAAAGCTGCATTATATTAAATCAGGCTATTGATTAATTTAGTTCATTACCACTTAGTCTGAGGGCACTGGCACTACAGACCTTAGGACAGAATCTTTTCTGTCACTGATGACTTGATCCTTTTAATTCAAAGGTAGACAACATTTTGGAGGCTGGTAACAACTTTTCTTTACTTGTTTATCATGTAAATTTATAAGGTTGCCAAACTCACAACAACTCTGGGCACTGTACAAGTTAAAAACGCAAAACAATAAGTCAATAAAAATTCAAATATGACAATAATTAGAGGAACCATCACACCACAAAGATATTAAACACATCCTACCCAACTTAGAGCACAAGGAAAAAGCCAAGTCTTTCAAGGCTTGTTTTAAAGACAGCAGCGTTGTTTGAACCTCTGGGGGAAAATTATTCCAGAAGAAAGGCACCCAAACAGAGGAGCCATTTGTTGTTGTTGTTGTTATTGAGGGCAAGTTCACACACTCTAGAGAAATGATGAAAGATGGGCATAGCCATGTCATGTTCCCTTTCCCAGTTTCTTTTAAAATGGAATAAATCTTATTTTAAGAATTCCACTATAGTTTTCTTATGTTTTTCACCTCAGACTGATGGAAAACCATGTGCTTCCCACTGAATTTTGGTGACAGTTCTGAAATAAGAAGGGTTCTGAGGCCACAGGATGCTCCTTCCTGTTTTAATTGTAGATGCCAGTGTAAAATTAGCATGTAAATCATATTGTCCTATGAAGATCTTCTTTCAAAGGGGGTGTTTCTCAAGACTTTCTGAGCAAAATTTCTCAAATTACTAGGTAAATTATTAAAACTTTTCTTATAAATGTAACTGGTTAATTGCTCCTGTAGAAGGAAAAGAGAGGGCCAGAGAGATAGTTACCTTCTCTTTTCCCTACTCCAAAAAAGAGACCATGAATACAGGATGTACTAAGGCCAACTGGACCTGATGGTCATTCGCACTAATCTGCAGATATGAGAGTTGAGGAAGACTGCAGAGCAACCACTCTCACCTTTCGGCTTATCCCATGAGGAAGACCTTTCCATATCTGATCAAACACACTGCCTTTGATCTTATAAACCTGCTGAAAAGGTTACCTTCTACATTAAACGGACTTGCTTGATTAGTTTAATAACATCACTATGTTGAGCGACTAATTACAGTCTGAGTTCATTTTTGACTAACAACATATACACATGTGCTAACCTGCAGCAAAATAAAGTTTCACATATTTGTGCTATGAAAACATTTACATCCCTTCTTTTGGCATTCCAGGAAAGTTGCAACTTCCTTTGAAATACACAATAAGTCCAAACAAAAATTGTGCAAAAAATCAGAAGCCTAATATTTAAATTACAGACAAAGAGCGGTAGGGAGGGGACACAAACACTTCTAACTATAGAAGGGCCACATATTTAAATGGAAAGTAAGAGGCCAGTGTGATGTAGCATTTAAGATATTTAACTGCAAATGGGGTGATCTAAGTTTCAGTGTACCCTCAACCACTGAGGCTTGCTGAGTAAGGTATAAATCTCACAAAAGAATAAATGAATCAAGTCTGCAATTTCCATGCAAAGGCTCTTGTCTACTGTCATTTGCCCTGGAAAAAACAATGCTGGATCCCTCAAAGACCTGCTGCAACAGATATGCAAAGCACTGTGGATAAAATTGTATTCATACCAAATATTCACTATATATTGAGGTATCCAATATACCCTTGGGTCCAGATTTCAGCTTATATGGCCTGAAGGCATGGAAAAGACACTTGTAGCTGTCTGTCCTACTGCATGCTTGCTTAACCTCTATAGCGTGACTTGGTATTTATTATTGTGTTACCTAGAACTGGATGGGTTTTGGGGGGGGGGTCCCCTCTCGGGAATGTGTCCGCTTGGGTTTCACGTCTGGCATCAGTTTCAGCCCAGTGGGAGGGGAACTGTTATTAAGGAGACTCTTGGGGCTTTCAGAGCTGTTCTACAGATAACCAGATATGAGATCTGTGAATTTGGGCTCTAGGAAACAGATGGCATTGCTGCTGCTGCTGCTGCTGTATTGGCTTTCCTGCTGCCTAGTGACTTTCTATCTGAGCCGTGTCTCCATACTGTGAGGATTCTTTGCTTTCCAAGGACTGGACACACCACAGAGTAGCAGATCTGTACAAAATGCTTTATTGTAGCACACACCTTCCCCAACAACACCTTCCCCAACAATTGCTCTCCACCCTTCTAGGACTTGCAAGGTGATGTTGCCATGTAAATATGTCTTTAATACTCAGTCCTTTAATACTTAGTTCAAGCAAAAGTCCCAAAGTCTGTAAAGTGGCATACAACCTTCACTTCCTTCCAAATGTTCTTACTCTAATTAAGATGAAGTGCTGCTTCAGTGTGGTTGTTCTAGTTGCTACTGAACTCCCAGCAAAGCTCCAAGCTCCAGGCAAGACTCCCCCCAGGATATTCTGCTCATCATAACTTGTGGTCCTGGCAGTTAAATGATAGTCCTCTTGCTTGTTTGTAACAGCTGCCAAACTTGAGACATCACCTCCTCTTCCCTGTCTGTTTGCTTTTCACCTTTCCTCCTACACACACCTTCCCCACTCTGTCTTAATGTTTTTTTTTTTTATCTAAGAGCCTGGGTGGGGTGAGGCTGCCTCTGGATGTCATATCCTTGAAAACGCCAGGGTGTGGCTCAATTATCACAGGCAGCTGGAATGCCGGCTTGGATGCTCGTGAGTAAAGGTTGAGTTAATGAATGAATGTATGAGGGAAATGGGGTGAGAAGTGTTTCTGCCTGGCTGCAGCTACTGTTCCCAAGCACAGACAGCAACCCCAACTTCACTGCCTCACACATACTGTGAAAGGTATGCTGTGGGGTGCCACAAGGCACGGCTTTGCCTTCAGTGCTACTTAATAACTATATGAAACCATTGGGAAGGTCATCAAGGGCTTTGGAGCTATGTGTCACCAATTTTTATTTTTTTTAAAGAAATGTTTAGAAAAGTTATATGGTTGCCCGTCTTAAATAAATAACTCTGGGCAGCTAACAATCAATACATAAGAGAAAAACAATGTGATAAAACCCCTACAAACAAAACAAAAATACAATTAAAAATAATAATAAAAAGAACCAAGGCATTGCATAACTAACTCATAACACAAGAACACACATATTGGTCTCTACCAGCACCCTGACCCTAAAGCCAGAGCTACAACTAAGAACTTAAATATTTCTTTCTAAGTTTAAATGAGAGCAGAGCAAGAGCAGCAACCTGATTGCTAACAGTTGGAAACAAGTCTGCAAGAAGATAGTTCAACTGTTTGAGGTCCGACCCCTTAAGTTTACCTACCATCAATCATTTGGCTCTGATTTCATTGTAAATGGGGTAGTGGAGGACATAATGGCTGTTCTATAGGACAGGTGCTGTGACTGAGAAGGCACTAATCCACCAACCTCACCATCATAGTGTGTGTGTGTATCCAGATGTAGATGACATCAGCTCTACTTCTCCATAACATGAAAATCAAGAGAGGACCAGTGTCTGGATGCAGTAATGGGGTAGATGAGAGGAACAAAGTGAGCCTGAATCCTTAAAACATGGAGACTTGATTTGGGGGGGGGGATATTTTATGAATATAAGAATTGGGTTGTTTACTTATTCTAGATGGTACTGAATTTCTTCAGAAAGAAGAGGTACATAGTTTGAGTCCTCATTGCCACTGGAGACCCAAGTGACTTCCATGATTAGGAGTACCTACTGCAACTTTCAGATGGCATAGCATTACACACTGACTTTCCTAACTACAATTCATGTGCTGATAATCTCATGTTTAGATTACTTTGCTTGCACTAAGTCCAGGAGCTGCAGGTGGTGCAGGACGTAGCAGCGAGGTTGCCGAGCGGGGCAGCAGTAAAGAACATATTTGCTGAAGATGGTTCTTGTGGCCAATTAGCTACTGAGCCCAGTTCAAGGTTTTGCTTATGACATACAAGGCTGTAAACAATTTAGGACCAGGTTAGTGGTCAGATCACCTTTGTTCTTATAGACCTGGTCAGTTACTGACACTATTAGGTAGGTTCTGCTATGTACATCAACACCCTCTGAATATCACCTGTAAATATCTGTAGACTACTTGAATATGTGAATATTTGTGTTCTCTGAGGTGGAGCATGCACTCTAAAAAACATTTCCCCCTGACAATTAGGAAGCACCTACTAAACTTACTTCGTCACCATTATGGTTCAGTAAAAGCCATAATGATGCTGCATGAATGACATAATCATACAAAAGATAAAAATTATATAAATTTCATCAATCACATCATGAAATTAATACAGATTACATCATTTGCACAACACTGTGATACAGGTGACATTACTTACTCCCCCCCCCCCAAATACTCATGGTCTTTACTCATGTAAGAAGAATGGCTTTTGCTTTTATTTTTTCTTCTCTCCTTTCTACACTTTATGAATGTTTTATATTGTTTGAATGTATTGCCT